ACCGGTGTTTGTGAGTGCAGGTCGGATTGTGGGATTTTCGTGTGCTTCATAATCAGGCAGTACATTCGTGGTGCAGAAGTGAATACTTTGATGGACGGTCTGACCCCAACTGGGCTACGAGCTGCAATGGTGGAAATGTTCTTAAGTGACCCGGGCAGAAGACTCCGTGGGAGGACATTATAAGAGGTTGAGAAGACATTTGCCAGTGCGCAAGGTGCAACAACAGCATTAGGATGTTTTATAATGTTTTTTCGTATCGACGTATATAATATTTTGTTAGTCTGGAAACACATAACAGTAGGAGAGAAAAACTAGTTTCATATACATTACTTTTTGTAATGCAGAAGTGCCCAATGGTTTAATCTTGGGTTAGGATCCAGTACTTTGTGGATATGAATGTTGATATTATTTAGTAAGCTATTCAAATAGTCTCACCTATTGCATAATAACAGGTTCACAGTGCATTACACTTTTGTGCCATGTGAAGTAGATTGTTTTTAAATGGCAGATGGGCCTGGGTATGTAAACATGGTGTGATCTATGCAGGAGTTGGGCATGACGACACTCAGTTTGGTAAACCTGTTTTCCACCACGGGAGTATGCGTGGCTTGATGTATATGGAAGTGGACATGCAAAGACTGAGCACGTCAACCACATGCTAAGTATGACACGAGTAAAGATTAATTTCGCATTGCCATCTTAATCAGAATTGTGATGATACCATGTTGAGCGTAACATAAAATTACCTTCGCATTCAATTTATTTTAACGCAGTTGGTAATGGGTACATGTTTTGTGCAATGACAATGGATTGTAAGCAGCCACCCAAACATTAAAAATCCATTGCCGTTCCGGCTACGGGTTGGCAGAGTCCGCTTTGGGCGAATGTTCTGGTATGATGTGAACAGATTTGTAAACTAAAACGGCACCAATTCCTCTTTTCATGTCTTCACAGTGTTAATCAAAGCCAGATTTGAAAATAAAATGGTTGTGTTTCAAAGGAGCAGTGTTAGTGTTCAATAGTGGGGACCAAAAATGTATGTCCTACTAAACAAATTAAACCAAAAACATAAAGTGGATGACTGGTGTCCAAATCTGTTATGATGTCCACAGATTTGAAACAAAAACCGGCACCCATTTGCTCTTTTCATGTGTA